GACACTTCAACAAAATCTGCATTTTTTCTCTCTGATTTCTTTTGGGGGGGTGGGGGGAAAGGGGTGCAGGCATGGGTGGCAGGGGGTAGTAGAGCAGTAACGCATTTTCAAATGCTGTTATGTTTTTTCCCTCTCTCCCCTGGCTGTAAAAATAGTCTAAGAACACTCTTAAGCAAGACACACAACACTTCTTAAAGGGCTAAAAAGTATAAGGAAGAAAAGATAGCTTTGCAATCAACATTTAAATCAACTTGAGCATTTTCTGTTACTTTGGCTTAGGTCTCAGCCAGCAGGCAGAATTAAACACCCACAGAGGAGGTACGGTCGCCTGCGTGCAGATACAATAGTAAACCTCAGAGCAGGGAAGGTTCCTCTTACCTTGACTGGCTTTATTTGCCAGCGTGCTTCCAGAGTGGAGGAGAAAGGAAAGCACGCACAATCCAGCAATCTGCAAAGCCCCCATTGCAATCTGTGTGCGTCTGTGTGGAGGTTTGGGGGCTGGTGGGGGGAATTTCTGATGCTTTAAAAAGAAAACAAAAAACAAGCTGAGCATGCAGGAAAGGAAGGAAAAACAGAGAGGGAAGGAGCTCTGTTCTTGCTGTGTGTGAGATAGGGGGAGGGAAGGGAACTGAAATGATGGAAAAAGCTGCTCTCTGGGTTCAGTTTGGGGCTCTTGATACTGCTAAAGAGAGAGTGAGAGAAGGAGCCCCAGGGCAGTTTGAAGAAAGTGGACTTGATCGCCCTCTCTCCGGCTGCTGCCTCTGATCCCTTCTTCTCCTTTTTTGAAATAAGCCCAGGCAATTCCAGTTTTGCAAGAGAGCAGCAGCAGCAGCAATGAAGGGGGGAAACAAGGAGCCTTGGTCTAGTGCTGGGGACCTGAGAAAGGGGAGTGGAAAGGAGAGATCCATCCAAGCAACGCCCTTTCTTCCTTTCTTTCTTTCTATTTGGCTTTGGCTACTCCTTCTTTGCTCCCCCCCCAACCCCAGGCTCTGCTCTGCCTGCAGGAATTTACAGTCTGCCACTGGGGGAGCAGAGCCAGTAGCCATGGAGACAGCTTCCCTGGGAGCAAGGAGGTCAGGCAAGAGACCATGTGCAATCAATGGATCAATGCAAAACTCCCATGCAAGCTCCAGACCCAACAAGCACTTTGCAATATCTTTCCCCCACAACCCCCTTTTTGCCAAGCTGGGGAGGGAAGAAAAAAAAAAGGAGTTGGGTGGAGATGGAGGAGGTGGGGGGCAAGTATGCGTTCAGAAAGGAGAATTAAAACGGCTTGCAGATGCCGTGACCTGCCGCACTCATCTTTGGTGCCTGGTGTGGGTGCGTGTTATGTGCACTCAGCGGATCAATGGCAACTCCAGATCAAAGAATATTCTCTCTTCCTTTCACTGTGGGGGTGAAAGGGAAGGGCAAGGCGTGGAGAAAAATGGGAAAAGGGGGGGGAGGGAAATGGTCCTGCAAATGATTTTGAATCCTTGCTTCCTTTCAGCACATCTCCCCTCCTTCACCCCAACACACACGCGGAGTACGCCTTCTCCTAAGATAGTTCCTACTCTGGATGCTGAATCACTACAGACACTTCGGAAGAGCACCTTCGCGCGTGCGCAGCATGGGACAGGAAGGCAGGTCTCCTGGCTCTAGTCCTCTCTGGGAAGCTGAAGGCCTAATGGTTAGAGCCAGGGGAATCCTGGCTTGTAGCTCCAGTTGTGGCAGGAAGCGCTGTCTAGTGATGGGGGCAGGCTCCATCCTCCGCGCCAGTCCTGACTCCACTGCGCAACTTTGGCCAATTGCTTCAATTATTAGCTTCTCCACTAGTAAACTAGGAAGGGGTAAAAGGAGAGTGAGCCGTTACGGAGTATTTGGAGGTGTTTGGGAAAGACACCAGAGATGCTGCACGGTGCGCAGGAGGCTGGCAGCAAAGTTCAAGGGGGAAGGACATCCCCCCCTAAGGCTTTTATCTCTTTCCTCCCTGCTGCAAATCACGTGCCGCCCTGCACTTCCACTGCCGCCACCCGTTGTTTGGAACTGCTGTCGGGTCCACAGACCTCCCGAGAGACGGGTCCCCGGCGTGGGTGCAAGTAGCAGCCAACTCCCGTTCCAAGGAGCTTGCACCCAAACAGACAAGACAGTCAACAGAGCGGGAAGGAAAAGAACTGACCTGGCCCAGGTCCCTTAATAAAAGCACTGGCAGAGCTCGTTTAACAGCTTCAGTGCTGCCAGCGTCAAGGATCCTGTTCCAAATCTCCTAGCGCACACCTGACATCCGTCTCAAAGCCCCAGCTCCTGGAGGCACAGGATTTAGGAAGAATTTTAGTGCCAACCCCCCGCCCCCTCCCCGCAATTTATACCCTCCTGGCTTGCAGAGAAAAGGGCCCCAGCAAAATCTTGAATCAGTAGGCAGTAGGGACATTTTAAAACCCTGAATATTCCTGTTTTGTGAACTCACATGATTTTTAAGAGAATCTCGTGATTTTTCCATGCTTGGCATCAGCGTGATTGCAACCCAGATTTTTTACACGCCAAAGCAGTTTTGTAGGAACCAGATCACAGTGGTATTCAGCCACTCGCCCTTCTCCTCTCCAGGAGCCGCAATGCAGGACAGAAGGCAACTTGCAGTTATTTTCATCCACTTCATAGACAGCAAAGCAGAAGTAGTGATTTCTGGTTGCCGCTGCATTCGCGATTGCAAACACACAGCTACCAGCGGCAGCTGCTTCCCCCTGTCCCCCTTTGTCCCCTGCAACTGCATGGGGCTCCCCCACAAGTCCAGAAATTTAGCAACAGGGGAGCGGTAATTCAGGTTGCCCGTGCTCCCCAGCTGGCAGGTTTTCCGTCCTGTTGGGAGCCTAGCAGGCCAGCTCACACAGATCCAGGGGCTGGATCTGGCTCGTGGGCCACAGGTTGAGCACCCCTCCATCACTGTGATCATGCTGCTCCAGACTGAGTCAGGCACGCAGGCATCCAACAAAAGAGCAAGACGCGCAGAAGATGCAGCAAAGGGGATCCTCTGAGCCTGGCAGGAAATGAACAGCATATATTCTGTAACAGCTCATCCAGGCTTTGCCTACATCAGGCGGCTCGGGACAACTAATCTGAATTAAGGTGTGAATTCTGAACAGATGAGCTAAACCACATCGAACCCCTTGGATTCATCGTGAAAACAACAGGGACCCAGGGACACAGATGAATAACCCAAGAGAGCAGGGATCTCCAGCGTCCCTCAGCTGTTCATCGTTGGTCTGAGACCATAGGCAGAGCTCTGCAATGAGAAGGAGGGCTTTAATCTAGGCAAGGGCAATTTGCCTGGATGTAGCTAGTACAAACCATGACAGGCAGGACTTGCTCTCGTGAGACTAGGATAAGTCCCACCGGACAGTACATCTGCACCGGGCTTTTGTACTGGTGTGGCTGCACCAACTCAAAACCACCACCACGAGAATGGGAAGGAGCGAGGCTGAAAGAGGATGCAATCCAAAAGCGACGCTTTTAAAAGCTGTAACAAATCTGCGGTTACCAAGCAACTTCACAGTTGTCACTGCGCTGCCCATTGTGGCCGGCTGGAATTTCACAGCAGCCGTGAGGACACAACCCAGCCCGTCCTGCTCCGGAAACGCAGGCCCCCGGCACGGGAGCCGAACACAAATCACCTTCGGCAGGACCTCCGATACCCGGTGGAGGAGCCGTGCGTGCGCAGACGATCCCGGTCGCTCCAGCTACAGGTAGAAACACTGTGGTGGAAACCTCCTCCTGCCGCCCGGCTCCTTGCCAACCCTTTGTGAGCGTGCTCTTCTCTGTGCCATTTTTGTTTAACTAAATGCTTTTGTTCTTCTAATTTGATTTTTCTGCTAACACAGTTATGTCCGTCACAAAACCCAGTGCCTGCTACGTCCTCAGGGACAGGACCTGTGTCTTCCTACGTGTGTAAAGGGGAGGATTAATGAACGGGCCCACACGCTCAGGGCCCCCCCAAAGCAGAAGGCCCCACCGCTTTGAAAGCTGTTGTTTTTCTCCAGGCAGGGCTCCGTCTGTTGGCTGCTGGAGAAGCGGTGCCATCACTGGCATAGAGAGGGGGCAAAATCCTCCAGCAGGTACTTAATATTGACAAGTTTCTATTGTGGCTAATGGTGAAGTCCGTCATCTTTGGGCACTCGGTCCCAAGGCCCGCATCTACACGAGATGCTAAATGCACAGTAGATGATTTCTACTGCACATTAGCGCATCACGGCAAAAGCCATGCTACTGTGCTAATACGCGGTAGAATTAGTCTACTGCACATTAGCATCACTCAAAAGGTGTGCGCCGGCACGTAGCGCCAGTTACTGCCCGCTGAGACAGTACCTGTTATTACAGGTACTAAACTTAATGCACAGTAACTAAAAGCACATCAATGCATGTGTAGACGTGCCCAAAACTTCCTAATTTGGCCCTGATCATAAGCACAGGGCAACAGGGCCTCAGCCTCTGCGACACAAACAGCAGCACACTGCACACCCCAAGCTGCAGCCAGCTGACGATATTACACCTCCTGCAAGGATCTGGGAGGTAACAGGGGCTCTAATTTTCTTTCCAGACATGTATTTTGTCATGTAAACATTACAAGTCCCTTATAAATTGTTGTCCCCAAACTCCTGGGTGAAGGTGGAAATTCTTTGCTCACTTGTACCAACGCGTCCTCACCGATGTCAGCACAGCCCTGCTGATGCTGTACCTCAAAGTGGGATCTGGCCATATCCAACCAGATGATCCTTTATTGTCATAACCAGAGGAAAACTAAACATTATTTTTTTTTAACTGGTCTTCTAAATCTGGAGACGGACTTCAAGGCACGAAGGCCAAGCCCTTCCACTATGTTGATTTATAACTGAGGTTATAGATTATAGGTTTACGTACTAGTATAAACACCCATAAACTAGGCTTAAATACACAGAATTGCATGTAATCAAAATGCCAAAACACCATGCAGCCACATGCACGACTCTGGATGAAGAGCAAAGTTTCAGCAACAAGCTCAGGGATGAGTTCATTTTCAGTGCCTTTCTTGACATGACCAGAGGCCAGGGCAATTTCATCTCTATTGAAGCAAATGAAATTTTGTGGGAGAGGAGTCTGATCTTCAACGGCATGGCTCCAGCTGATGTAGACTGGTGCAGCTCCAGTGAAAGCAGCGGAGCTTCCCTGAGCTAAACCAGCTAAGGGTCTGACTGCCGGTGTCCTGGTCTCAGTGAGAATAGGGCACGTGGATGGTGCACTCGCAGACTCCAGTGGAGTCACCACCATTAGCTCCCCGCCTATCAGTGTTTCCAGCAGAGGTGCCAAAGATCCCATGGTCCACGGGGACTGACCACCTCTTGTCTTGAGGCTGGGCCTTGCCAGGCGAGGGTTGAAGAGGTGGCACAGAGGAAGTTCAAGCTGTTGCAGCCAGTGCTTTGGCGGTCCAAACCTCCCAAGATGCTGATGGTGCCATTTTCTCTCTCT